AAGTGACTCTTGATTTCAGCTCAGGTCATGATGTGTCAGGGTCGAGCCCTGCATTGGGCTCCTGCTGGGCTTAGAGCTTGCTTAAGATTCTCTCTCCCTCTGTCCCTCTCGTTTCCCTCTCTAAACACAAAACAAAACATTGGGGTAAATCTTCATGACCTTCAATATGGCAGTGTATTCTTAGAATACCAAAAGCATGAGCAACAAACAAACATAAACTAGACTTCATTGAAATGAAAAACTTTTATGCAAAGGACATTGTCAAGAAGATGATTTTAAAAAACCCTATAGATATGAAGGAAATATCTCTAAGTCATACATTTGTTAAGGGTTTAATATCCTTAATTATATAGAACTCCTGCAACTCAAAGACAAAAAGATAAACCAGCCAATTGAAAAATGGGCAAAGGACTTGAACAAACATTTCCCCAAAGATGATACATAAATGGCCAATAAGCACATGAAAGGATGTTCAGCATTATTAGTCAGTAGGGAAATGCAAATCAGAACGACAATAAGATATCATTTCACATCATCTTTTGATAGCTAGAATTAAAAATTAAAAAGTATTAGTGAGGATGTGAAGAAACAGGAACCCTCATACACTGCTGATGGGAATATGAAATGGTCCATCTGCTGTAGAACTGTCTGGTCCTTCCTCTAAAAGTAAAACACAGAATTACCCATTTGATCCCGTAATTCCACTCCTAGGTATATAATCAAGAGAACTGAAAAAAGTACTTAAGCAAGTACATCTATACACATGGTCACAGCAGCACTATTCACACATCCAAAAGGTGGACAAAGTCCAAAGTTCATCAATAGATGGATGGATACAGTGGAGTATCATCCAGCCATAAAGGTAAATGAAGTACTGGGGCCTGTGCATGGCTTAGTCGGTTAAGCAGCCAACTCGTGGTTTCGACTCAGATCATGATCTGGCAGTCGTGAAATCGAGCCCTGCAATCGAGTCTGCTTCAGATTCTCTCTCATTCACCTCCAGCTTGCACTCTCTCTCTTTCTTAAATAAACAAAATCTTAAAAAAAAAAAAAAGTTATTGATACCTGATACAACATGGAGGAACTTCCAAAACATTAGGCTAAGTGAAAGTCAGAGAAAAAAGGTCACATATTGTATGATTCCCTTTATAAGAAATATCCAGAATAGATAAATACACAGAGACAGAAAGCTGGAGGCATGGCTGTCAGAGACTAGGACTAGGGTGAAATGGGAATGGGGAGAAATTGTGTTGTGGGTAAGGTGTTTTATGTAGGAATGATGGAAATACTTTACAAATAGAGGTGATAGTTGAACAACACTGGGACCACGTACTAAATGCCATTGAATTATGTTCACTTTAAATGGTTCATTTTACGTATTTGAATTTCACCTCAATAAATTATTTATTATAGTTATTATTTTTAAAGGATGGGGGAAATTCTAGGTCTCCAGAAAGGCAGTTCTCTCTTTTTTTTTTAAGATTTTATTTATTTTGAGAGAGACAACCCCCCATGTGCACGAGTTGGGGGGTTGGGGGGGCAGAGGGACAAGCAGACTTCCCCCTGAGCAGGAAACCCAATGCGGGGCTCAATCCCAGGACCCTGGGATCATGTTGAGTCGAAGGCAGCCTCTTAACTGACTGAGCCACCCAGGCGCCCCATTTACTCTTCTTTCTAAAGGTGGTTTTTGCTTTTGTTTGTCCCTTCAATTTCTATATAAATTTTAGGATCAGTTTGTCAATGTCTGGGAAAAGGGAAACTATCATTTTGATTAGGATTTCATTTAATCTGTAGATCAAATTGGGGAATATTGCCATGTTAACATTAAGTCTTCTCATGAACATGGGATGTTGTAGGTCTTTAATTTCTTTGAGCAGTGCTTCAATAGTTTTCTGTGTACAAATCTTTCACCTCCTTGGTTAGATTTAATCCTCGGTATTTTATTCTTTTAGATGCCATTGTAAGTGGAATTTTCTCAATATCCTTTTTAGGTTATCCTGTTTAGGTTATTGCTGGTATAGAGAAGTAAATCTGATTTTTGAGTGTTGATCTTATATCCTACAACTTTGCTGCATTTCTTTATTAGCTTTAGTAGCTAACTTGTGAATTCTTTGAAATTTTCTTTGTCGTTTTTGAAATAATGTTAATTCTTCCTTCCCAGTTTGTATGCCTTTTATTGCTTTTTATTGTTTAATGCTCTGGCTAGAACTTCAGGACAGTGTTGAATAGCAGTGGTAAAAATGGTTATCCTTGTCCTATTCCTGATCTTAGGAGGAAAGATTCCACCATTTAGTAAAATGCTAGATGTGGGGTTTTTTTTTAATTCCTTTACAATGTTAAGATACTTCCCCTCTATTTATAGTTTTTTGAGTGTTTTTATCTAGAAAAAGTGTTGGATTTTGTCAAATGCTTTGTATCAATTGAGATGCCCATCTTTTAATATGTTGTTTCTAAGTACAAATCTATGTATGTCATTCCACTGCTCAGAAGTTTTATATATAAAGGTATTAAACTCAGAACAAAGAAACATATTCCTCTGGTCTAATTTTTATGTTTTATTTTTCATTACAAGTGAATTCTTCACTACTGTGGTAGGTAGAATAATGGTCCGTCAGAGAAGTCCACATCTCAATCCCTGGAACCTGTGATATGTTAGCTTATATGTTAAAGAAAAATTAAAGTTGCTAATTATTAGCTGGCCTTAAAATAAAGAGATTATTCTGGATTATCCAGGTGGGGCCAGTGTAACCCAGCAAGTCCTTTCATGTGGAAAAGGTAGGCAGAAAATGAGAATGAGAGATGTGACTATGGAAGAAAGGCCCAGAGAAATGCAACATTGCTTGCTTTGAGGATTAGAGGAAGGGGGACCAAGAGCAAAGGAGTGTGGGTGGCCTTTAGAAGCTTAGAAAGGGCAAGGAAAGAGATTTTATTCTTAGAGCCTTCAGAAAGGAATGCATTGCTGGTGACACACTGAATTTAGCCTTATGAGAACAGTGTCAGATTTTGACCTACAGAAGTGTAAATTTTTGTTGTTTTAAACTAAGTTTGTGGTGATTTGTTAAAGTAGCAATACAAAACAAATACAACTACCCAAGCATATTCTGTTTATGATGTTGGTTTATTTCTCTGGGCTAACTCATGTCTAAATTTCCCTTAGGTTGTTAAAATTGACTTATTATTCAAGACCCATCTCAAAGCTTTTTCAAACATTAAGCCTTTAGTTTGTCTTCCACACCACATGCCAGGTGTCCTCTATCCAGGATATACCCTAAATTTCTCTTTCCTTGTTTCTGTTGTGCTTTTTTTTTTACCTTCCTCATGGCATCTAACAAGTTTTAGAATTTGGTATTTGGTATTTTATTAAAATTTTATTCTCCTTTTAAAAATGTTCTGTTATCTTGATATGGTTGTGTATTTTGTGTGTATATCTAAATTTGGGTTGTATATATAAGACTTTTATACTTTATTTTTTAAAAGATTTTATTTATTTATTTGACAGGGAGAGAGGGAACACAAGCAGGTGGAGTGGCAGGCAGAGGGAGAAGCAGGCTCCCTTCTGAGCAGGGAGCCCGATGTGGGGCTCGATCCCAGGACCCTGGGATCATAACCTGAGCCGAAGGCAGATGCTTAACCGACTGAGCCACCCAGGCGTCCCAGATTTTTATACTTTAGTTATTATCTCTATTTAGAATTTTGAATCTTTCATTTTAGACTGAGATTGGTACTGTATCTTACTCAGTCTTTTCTATTGAATAACAGTCTGTGATGTGTAAGGTAAGCAATCCATATGTGTTTGACTTAAACTAAATGTACATGTGGATTAGGTCCTATAATTTAAATTTATGAACCAAAGGGCATCTGGGTGGCTCAATTAAGCATCCGCTTTCAGGTCAGGTCATGATCCCAGGGTCCTGAGATCAAACCCTGGGTCAAGTTCCTGCTCAGCGGGGAGTCTGCTTTTCTCTCTCCCTCTGCTCCTTCCCCTGCTCGTGCTCATTTGCATGCTTTCTCTCTTAAATAAATAAATAAAATCTTACCCAGAAAAGTAGTGAGTTTTATCCATATCCTGAGGGAGTTATAATTAAGTTGTTGGGAGGCATATTTTCAGTTTATATAAACCATAATTATTGAAACCATTGATGTTAACGGAGATTATACATCTCTCTAGACAGATTTTAAGCAAGGTCAAATTTTGGAGGGGGTTGTTTCTTTTTATGTACTTTAGGTTCAGATGTGTCTGAAAATAAAGATATTTAGTTGCTTCTCAAGACTCTTGAATATCAGTTCATCATATTTGTCTATTTTTAAAAGATTTATTTAGAGAGAGCACGTGAGCATGCGAGCGCATGAGCAGTGGGGGGGCGGTAAAGGGCAGAGGGAGAGGGAGAGGGAGAGAAGCAGACTCCCCGTGGAATGCAGAGCCCAATGTGGGGCTTGATTCTACAACCCCAAGATTATTACCTGAGCCAAAATCAAGAGTCAGACGTTCCATCGACTGAGCCACCCAGGCGCCCCTCTATTTTTAAATGAGTTTTTTAGAAGGATGGTGCTACAAACATAGTGCTTCTTTTTTAACTAAGAAATGTATCTTGCAGATTGTTCAGAACTAATATTTATAATATAAAAAAATGTTTAATAATTCTTCAGCGTTGGGGTGTCTGGGTGGCTCAGTTGATTGAGCAGTTGACTCTTGGTTTTGGTTCAGGACATGATCTCATGGTGGCGGGATTGAGCCCCTCATTGGGCTCTGCGATCAGGGCAGAGTCTGCTTCAGATTCTCTCTCTCTCCCTCGCTCTCTCTCTCTCTCTCACAAATAAATATATTGTCTTTAAAAAAAATTCTTCAACATTGATTGCAAACATGAAGAAAAAGAATTGTTTTCTCCCCTAATGATGAGAAAACAAGTTTTCTAAGAATAAAAGAAACTTCAGCAGAACTGATGTCCCTTTTTACATCATATTTTTTAGTATTTACAGAATGTGATGTTTGTGTCTCATAGAATGGAGATGTATGCATTTCGATTCTTCATCCGCCTGTAGATGACCCACAGAGTGGAGAACTGCCCTCTGAAAGGTGGAATCCTACTCAAAATGTCAGGTAAGGGGTTACATAAAGAGTAATCTGGTTTTTAGGTGGTTCTTAAGATTAGATATTATCTTTTAACAAGTACAAAAGAATCCTTTCTGTACTTGGTTGCTTTGTCTTCTGCTAGAGCTTTAGGTAACACATATGCATCGTTTTAAAGAGTCATATTTACAGAGCAGTAATTGCATGTTACTCATTTCTTTATGTGCGTCTTAGAATTTTTCTAGTCTGAATTCTTCTTACATTATCATAAGTTCCATCCTGCATCTTTGGATGTCATGATGTCCATGTTTGGATTGGTTGTTTCCTTACTCTAGGATTCTTATTACATTTTGCAGAAAAATTTAAGTCTTTACAAACTCAGTTGACTTTATATACATACTACTTTTAAAAGAGCTTCCATTATGTTATTTTTTGTGTTTTATATGTATGTAAATGTCTCTTAATGATTTGAAGGCCTTGTATATTTCTTTTGATTCCCTTTGATTACCATCTATTTTTCTTTTCAAATTTTTATTTAAATTCTAATTAGTTAACATACAATGCAATATTAAGATTATTCATCTGTTAATTGATCTATTGAACTATCTCTATAGATGGATATTTAACCATTTGTTTAGAGTAGTGGTCTGTATATTTAGGAGTTGGTCACCTAACCCTTAAAAGAATTTTGAAAAACTGTACACTGTTGCATGTTTTTGTATTTTTTGTATTTTTTGTATTTTTTGTGGTTTTTTTTTTTTTTTTTAATTTTATTTTGAGTAATCTCTGCACCCAGTGTGGGGCTTGAATTTACAACTCCAAGATAAAGTCACCTGCTCTACCGACTGAGCCAGTTAGGCGCCCCCACTATTGCAGGTTTTTAGGTACAGGGTTCTTTTGGTGTTTTGTTTTTTTAGGTACAGTTTTTTACATCTCAAATTTAAATAGTTAGAAAATACTTTTTGGGGGCACCTGGGTGGCTCAGTTGGTTGAGCGACTGCCTTCGGTTTGGGTCATGATCCTGGAGTCCCGGGATCGAGTTCCACGTCGGGCTCCCTGCTCAGTGGAGAGTCTGCTTCTCCTTCTGATTCTACCCCCCTCATGCTCTCTTATTCTCTCTCTCTCAAATAAATAAAAATCTTTTTAAAAAATTAAAAAAATATATTTTTCTACTTGCACTTGAATTTCCATTTTACTATCCTAATACTTGAAATTTTTATGTTTGATAGCCTTATATATTTCTATTTTTTTATTTTATTTTTTAAAGATTTTTATTTATTTGTCAGAGAGAGCACAAGTGGGGGAGCAGCAGAGGGAAAGGGAGAAGCAGGCTCCTCACTGAGCAAGAAGCCCGATGTGGGACTCCATCCCAGGACCCTGGGGTCATGACCTGAGCCGAAGGCAGACGCTTAACAACTGAGCCACCCAGGCGTCCCTGATAGCCTTATATATTTTATTTATCTTATAATATTTTTCTAAACAAAAATCTGTATTTTAATTGCTTGTGACAAGAAAACTGAATTCTATACTGAATTACTTTATTACACAGTTGATTAAAAACAATACAAGTATATTATACTTTCCATATACTTTTGCTTTTTACATTTAATAATTATTAGAAATACATTTTTAATCAAGTAGATAGACATTTCTTTTCAGTTAAGTCATGTAGCCATGAGTAATTATTACATTGTTAGATTGAGGTAGAAATACAGCTTCAATTTCATATATATACATAATGTATGAATAATATACATTATATATACTAATATACACACCCAAGAATATATGCATCTATATACATATATGTATACATATGCATGAGGACTAACATATATCACATAAATATATTAGATGCAATGATTAAGAGACCATATTTACATACGATAATGGAATAGAATTTTATATGGCAGTGAAACTAAATCCTTTTAATTCCTTCTGAGTTATTTGGCAGAAATCACAGTGATCCATTGTCCATCTTTAAAAAAAAGTTTTATTGTGACATAATTCCCATACCTGACAATTGCCCCATTTTATGTGTACAATTCACTGTTCTTTAATGTAAGTAGAGAGTTGCACAAGTATCCCCACAATCCGTTTTAGAACTTTTTTTTTTTTTTAAGTAGCCTCTATGCCCAGTGTGGAGCCCAACTCGGGGCTTGAACTCAATGACCCTAGATAAAGATCTGAGCTGAGATCAAAAGTCAGACACCGAACCGACTTAGGCACTGTCAGTGCCCCATGGCACTTAGGTGCCCCATGAACATTTTTATCACCTCTAAAGAAACTCATACCTTTTAGCATTTACACTCCATTATCCCTCAACCCCCCACCCCCACCCCTACCCTTCTACCTGCAACCCTAGGAAACCACCAGTCTTTCTGTCTCTATAGATTTACCTATTTGGATATTTTGTAGGAATAGAGTCATTCAATATATAGTATTTTGTGATTGGCTTCTTTAACTTAGCATTTTTTCAAGGTTCATCTTTGTTGTAGCATTAATCAGTACTTCATACCTAGGAATAGAATTCCTGGGTCATATGATAACTCAGTGTTTAACTTTTTGAGGAACTGCCAGACTGTTTTCCAACATGGCTGCACTAAGTAGTACATTCCTACCAATAGTGTTTGAGAATTTGTGTATCCACATACTCGTTAACACATGTTATTATCTGTGTTATTATAACCATCCTACTGGGGGGACATGGTATCCCATTGTGGTTTTGTTAATGACTTTTAAAATTTTAGAACAGTTTTAGATTTTTGAAAATTGTGAAAATAGTACAGATAGTTCTCTAGAATTCCATGCATGATACCACGTTATATTTAATAGGCATGTCTCCTTAGGCAATTGTGACAGTCTCAGACTTTCCTTGTTTTTGATGACCTTGACAATTTTGAGGAGTACTGCTCAGGTGTTGTAAAAATGTCCCCCAGTTGGGATTTTTCTGATGTTTTCCTGGTATTAGAGTAGGGTTATAGTACTGGAGAGGAAGACCATGGAGGTAAAATATATTGTCATCACCTTGTATTAAGGGTACATAATATCAACATGACTTATCACTGTTGATGTTAACATTCATCACCTAGCTGGGACTCAGTTTTTAGATTTCTCCCATGTAGGGTTCCTTGTTTTCCCCTTTCCATTCTGACTCTTGAAGGAAGGAAGTCATAGGTGCAGCCCACACATAAGGAATGGCAGTTATACTTCCATGAGGCTGAGATATCTGTATAAATTATTTCAAATTCTTCTGCACAGATTGATTAAAATCAATACCTAAATACATACATACATATTTATATGTTTATTCAGTCATTTTGTTAGTCTTTTTTTTTGAGGGGGGAGGGGCTGAGGGAGAGGAAGAGAGAATTTTTTTTTTTAAAGATTTTATTTATTTGTCAGAGAGAGAGAGCATGAGCACAAGCAGGGGGAGTGGCAGGCAGAGGGAGAAAGCAGGCTCCCTGCTGAGCAAGGAGCCTGATGTGGGACTCAATTCAGGACTCAATCCCAGGACCCTGGGATCATCACCTGAGCTGAAGGCAGACAATCCCGGGAGCCACCCAGGCATCCCGGGAGAGAGAGAATCTTAAGCAGGCTCCATGCCCAGTGCAGAGCTGCATACAGGGCTCGATCTCACAACCTTGAGATCATGACCTGAACTGAAACCAAGAGTCAGATACTCAACTGAGTGAGCCACCCAGCTGCCCCTTTATTAGTCATTTTTAATGATCTGAAAAGCTAGTAACTCAGGAACTCTACTTTTGTTAAAAATGAAAAGTTGGAAGCTTCTTGACTTACACAAGGATTTCTTACCAGTTTTTACCAAGTTAGTTACTTCTCACTTTCTGGGAAGTGTATACCAAAGAGTCTGTTGAAACCTATCAAATTACTGTTGATTATGTGTTCATTATGCTGATTACTCATTACTTTAGGTACCTTGTTCAATATAGTGTACTTAGAAAGAATTGAGAAAATAGATCTGTTTTGGATTTCAACGCCTCTAGCCCATATATTTTTTAAATCAGAAAAAAAATGTCTCCCTTTTTTAATTCAAGTAAGTGTGTTGATACACCTCACCTTTACAGCCATCTTGCTTATGGATTCTAATTCTCAGATAGATCAGGCATAGAACTTTGCCATAAGTTTATTATGTCTATGAAATAAGGAATCACCGCATATTCCCTGTACTTTATGCTTTACTTTAATGGGACTCTCCCTCGGGGATAATCCATTCTTAATAATAATCAGAGATGGAATTAGTAAGTTCCTTTTAATGAAAATTTAATTCCAGCAACCCCAGTCTATACATATCTGAATTTATTGTACTCCATCACATACCAAAATACTTTTTTTAAATAGCATTCTACACTTTTAACAAAATTATTTATGAGAAAGGAAAAACAGTTGGTTTTATATGTAAATTTCTTTCTTTTATACACCTTACGTTTCATTACCTCTGGGCAATGCACCCTAGGAATATTTGGGATGTGTGGAAGGTATGCATTCCTTGGAGGCTGGAAAGGAGAACTGATCTGATACTTTATATACCCCCAGGTTCATGAATATATTAAAGACCACTTCTTTTACACAGGATCTTTTATGATCCTTAGCAAAATTCGTATATTCCTACTTTTTTCATCCCTCATATCCCTGACACCACACAGTTATAGCTGATTATTTGTACCTTTAACCTGTACTTATCCTATTACTTGATTTTTCAGCCTCAACCTGTATTGACAGAGCTAAGTAAAAGAAAATCAGCATACATATTCCATTTCCCATCCTCTCTTCCCCTTTTCTTCCTAACTTTTAAAAATATTTGTTTATTGGGGCATCTGGGTTGCTTAGTCGGTTCAGTGTCCGACTCTTGCTCTCAGCTCAGGTTATGTTCTCAGAGTCATGAGATTGAGCCCCACACGGAGCTCCACACTGGGGGTAGAGCCTGCTTAAGATTCTCTCTCTCTCCCGCCCATCTGACTCATGCGTGTGCACACACTCTCGTTCTCGAAATATATGTAAGTATTTAT